CTTTGCTTTTAGAAGAGCTATTTGACCTATTTTTTCCCTTAATAAACTGTAATTAGAAAGCCTGGAGAAACCTAAGATCACCTGGGCAAGAAGTTAGCAAAACTCCTGTTCCATTTTCACAGGAGGTCATGAGATGCCATTGCCTTCCCATGAAGCATTTTACAGAATGTTCAGTTACGTAACAGCTTTAAGGATAAGGTTTTACTTTTGTTTGCCTTTTATTAATGCTCAGCTTCTATTGGGCAATCAGGAATCTTGGTCCCTTGGGACACTGCTAAAACCTCCTTCCTTTGGACGCTGCTCCATAAAATCTGCACATGAGAGTGATTTTGGAGCCAATTTTTAATTTCATTTTTGTTTTCACTCTTCAGGATGAAATTTCCACTCAGTGTCCCGGCCAAAGCTGTCTTGATTTTAGTTTATAACTTGAGCAAGAACTATTCAATTTATTTGTTTWATATTTAAAAATAKAGATGCATTTAYTCCTAGGATGTGGAACAAAGTTCCTGTACTTTTTAACAGCTCCACAGCTAAGAAATCAGAAGTACAGATTTAGTATGCATGTGTCTTTTCTGAAATTTGTTCTGGCATCAGTCACCAACAGTAAGTTAATAGTATTCCTGTGTTTACAAGGAGATCATGGACACTTACGATATGCCTGCAACCATGTGAACTAGCTTTACTTTTTTGTAATTGTATAGATATTTTTTAGACTTCCAAAATACCTATGTAGAAACTTTTTTAGTAAGGGAGGAAGGGATCTGGTTGAACTGCATTTCTTTTTGGACTAGTCAATGGTTATGTCAGTTCCAGGAGCTRAGGAAAGGTTCCTCTGGTTGCTTGATTTGGGCAGGTTCATGTATTTGAAGAACACTTGTCTGGGAGCTTGCAGGCACCAGCTGCTTGAGGAGCCTCTCCTGCTGAGCAGGTACTGTGTGGAAAATCTTCTGTCCCAGGCAGGACTGGACACAAACCTGTGAGAAAAGCAGGGGCAGTGAGCCAGGTTGTTTTTAACAAAACAAAGTTATGCAATATCATTTACTTCTGACATGTTCCCAATATGCAGCAAATGAAGAACTCACTAAATACAGTATATCTCTGGCCATATCATTTGAATAAAACTTGTTTCCATGACAACCTCTGCTTAACAGCTTGGCTGATATGAAATCATTCCTAGATGAGGGAGCTTTTGCCAAAAGCATTGGGATTCAACACTTTAATATCATGTTTTAGGGTTTAAAAAACATTTATTTAAGCCTCTGGAAGCAAATATCAACTAAAATCCCTTCATCCTCACCTCTGCTTCGGCTCTTGGTTGATCAATTTATCTTCCTGGGAACCTCTCAGAAGCAGCTCCTGTGTTACTTAATATGCTTCTGAAGTCCCAGGCAGTGTTTCAAGAGCAAGTGATCGTGACACCAGCGTTTGGTAGAGAAATTACATTTCATGGCTGTTGGCTCAGGCTGTGAGGCAGCAGTGGCAGCAGCTGGGCACAGCAGTTGAGGCTTCTGCTCCAGCCATCCCTCAAGTCCAGGCAGGTTTATGTTCCAACCAGCTCTGCCTTGGAGTGAAAAAGAGGAGCTTCAGCTGGAGAGAGGTCTAGCTGACATTTCACACCATTTGTTTGGTGTCAGGAGCACTGAACAAACCCAGGTTATCTCCTGGATGTTTTTTAAGGTGCGGTACCTGTYGCCTCAGACAGCTGTGGAGCACTTCCAGGGTGGAAATGCACTGTGACTGCTCATATGGTGCTTGTTCCCTTCCTCCCTTCCAGGTGCTACACTGCAATAGAATACAGCTAAAATAAGCCTAATGCTTTYCTAATATTTCTCATGTATGCAGGCATTGCAGTTGCCACAGTGATGGTGCACAATTGTCAGCAGGGAAAARGAAGGTCCTGATGGTTTTAAGAGGCATTCTGCCCTCTCAAAACACCATTGTATTGTACCAGGGAGATTTTCTGCACCCGCTGGGAGCAGAGACTATGGCAAAATCTACTGGAACAGGCAAATAATATTTCAAGCACATGTAATGTACCCATTGCTGTCAAGATTTTGGGATCAGCAAGGATTATAAGGGTAGGGATTTAAGTCTCAAATAAAACCATGGAAAGAGGTATGAAATATTCATTGTTTCTTTTGGCTATAATGTGCCTTCTTCAGCTCTCATTTGCCCCACCATGGGGCAACTTGGGCCTTTGTGTGCCAAAAAGGTTCAGGTACCCACAATTGGGTGCAGACAAGTAATACTAGGAACATATAAAATGGGGCAGAGCAATATTCCCCACTCCAGTTTGTTGGGTTTTTTCTCCCCAGTTATTACTGGGAAAATTCCAGCTGTTAGCCACTGGAAATGAACTAAGCAAATCTACCAGCTGACTCCTGCTCTCYGCCCCACAGTCCTGCTTTGTAAGGCCTTAGCAGAAAATTAGCAGCTTACCTGGAGAGCTCTGCAAGGGAAAGGAAGGTTTGGCTGGRAGGAGGTGTGAGGAATGGAGCCAGGAGCCCCTTCTGTGGTGGTGAGCTTTAAGCAACCCATCTCTGCACCATCTTGTAGCACAGRGCTGCACCATAACACAGTTTGTTTCTGCTAAATCTGCTTGAGAAGGTGCAAGAGCACAGGAGGCATCACCAGGGGTTCCTTAAAAAGGAACYTTCCAAATATATAGCAAACATCAATAGAATACATTTTTAATTCAAGTCCTATAAATACCTCTCTGAAAGCGGTAATAACTTCCTGGGATTTTTAATCTCTGAAATGATTTCACTCAAGGTGTGCTGGCAGCGTGAGGTAGCTGAGCAGAATCTGGATGCTGTGCTCGTGATCATTTTTCCTTGTGAGATTCATCTCAGGAGACTCTTTTTTTYCCTCTGTGTCACGACTTCTTAGAAATCTCTGTAGGCAAAGGATGCGTTAATTTGATGCATCCTGTGATTGCCCTTCCTCCACAACCAAATTAATTTACTGTTAGTTGAGATTCCCACAACGTTCCTTGTGCCACTGTGAAGCCTGATATTTACTGATGTAAATAAGGAATAAACGGAGGCTTTACATATCTCATTTGGAATAATGATACAGGCTGTGCCTCCTGGCTCTCGCTCCTCAGAGGTGGGGGGGTTTTATTTCTATAGTGTTCCTTGCAGCCCAGGTTGTTTATAACAGAATGATWTGTTTTCAGCATGAGCTGTAATGTTTTAACTGATGAGCAGCTCCCTCATAATGGAATCTGGAGGTTTTCACTGAGGCGTGTGGTTCCCATCAGAGGCAGGTGCTGGATTCAAAGTTAGTTTTTGTAATAAAGTCTAGTGGGCTTGGCCTTATTTTCAGAGTGATGCTACTGCAAGTCCAAAATTTAACACTGCTTTGGCAATCTCAGCAGAGGAGACCAAAAATGTGTTAAGTGTGGAGAGTCATTGGCAGTCACAGAGGCAAAATATGGCCCCTTAGGGTCATAAGAAATTAGTGCTCTTCTCTTCCCCTCCTGTCTTCTCTAGTTCTTCTGAGAAAATCTGTGCCTAGATACAGCCATTTATTGTAGGGTTTTTTTTTTGGGATTAACATTTTTGGTGGGCTCATCATTAAAACAGAGAAAAYGCTTGGAGTGGGCATACTAATGAATTTTTAGATTCCAAGCTCTCCCAAATGGTCATTATCTTGCCTTCTATTTAAAGAGGAATAAATTAAATTGCAAGAGATGGTGCAACTGGTTTTGCAGATCTTATTTAATTTGGAATAGCAGTTTACATTTTCCATCTGTACAACATAACCATTAACTTTTTTGTGTTTCTTCATTGTCATTGTACAGACAGCTTTTTACAGGTGAACTCTGCCCTTTCTAACTGTTAGTTTTTTATTTCTTTAAAGGAGTGTGTCTTTATTGATTTTTCTTTTAGGATGAAGTATATATAAAATTATTCATCCTACTAAATGTGCTTGCAATGAAATCTATGTGATTCATGGTCTTTGATCCTGCTATCACTTATGTGGGTGTTTAACTTTACTACTGTGCACAGTCCCAATGGGGAGAATCYTAATTTAAAAAGTTCTATTCTAAAAATAATGTGAGGGTTTTTGCACATGTCCATGTTGCATTGTGAGGAACATCTTCCTGTAAAACCAGACATGTAAATTAAATGGACTGTAGAGATGGGAAGACAGGAAAATTATTATCCCCCAAGTCTGGAAATGTTCATTGTTGYACTGTCTTTATCTGTGGTCAGAGTGCACAGTAGCCATCCCTTCACTATGTGAATGTAGAAAATATTTTGTTCTAAAACTTGAGTTTTTAGAAAGATTTAGTGTTTTGGTCAGCATTGCCAAACCAAACTGAGCACAAAGGTTATTTTGCTCARTAAGGCATCCCCAGAGACATGTTGGGTCTGCGGTGTGACCTGGGTATGCAAGAGAAGGGGCTGCCAGCAGCATGTGGGAACATGCAAGGGTTCTGTGTCCTGAAAGTTGGGGCTTTAGAGAGATTAAGTGTTTTGGTCAGCAYTGCCAAGCCAARCTGAGYACAAAGGTTATTTTGCTCAAAAAGGCAATCCCAAAGACATGTCAGTTCTGTGGTGTTGCCTGTGTATGTGCAGAGAAGGAGCTGCCAGCTGCACCAGCGGTGCAGGGTGGTGACACTGGGTACCCTGTGTGCCCCAACGCCTCGTGGCCTTGGGTTGTTGTAAAGGTCTAAGGAAATACATCAACGATTCTCTTTTTCAAGCTGTGCTCTTGCAGAGAGGCAGCGATGGGATGGGGCGAGAGCGTGGATCCCTTTGGGGAGCCATCCATGAACTCCAATGCTCCCTGGGCCACGTCCATCGCTGTCACCACCCTGCCCCTTGCCCGTCTGTGTTTCCCATCGCACCTTGTCCCCGTGTCTCTGTYCTTCTCCCATCCCTCGTCCAAGCCGAAATCCCGCTCATCCCCTCCCTCGTCCCTCCTCGCAGCGTCCCTTGTCCCCTCCCCGCGCCCCGTCCCGCCCCTCGCCCCCCCGCCCGCCCGGGGAGATGGCGCTCGGTCCCCCCGAGCGGGACGCGCCGGGGCTGCCGCTGCACTCGCCGTGGACCTTCTGGCTGGACAAGTGAGTGGGGCTGGGGGGCGGCGGGAGCTGGGGAAAACCCCCCAAATCCGTCTGCGGAGGGATGCGCACCTCTGGGATTATCGGTTCCCTCGGGAAGTTAATCCTGGGCTGCGCATGGGAAACGTGCTGGTGCGAGGGACTGTCCCGGTGCCTGTCCCCATCGAGGGGGTCGGGAGCGGTTCTGGGAGCTGCGCAGTGAAACTGGTTTGGAAACGCTTTCGGTTTTGTAGTTGAATGGACGCACACTGGTCCAGGCACCGTCGGTGCAGGTTTGAGCTCTAAATTTAGAGATGACGCTCGCAAACCCCGGGAATAGAAGGGTAAAGGTTGTGCTTTGCTGCTGTGGTTTGTGCATCCCTGCTGCCCCAGATGGACCGGGTCCCACCGACACAGACGTCCAATCTTACAACTCTTTAATACCAGGTTTGGCTCCCCTAGGTGACCAGTTCTTAAAATCCGAAGTGATATGTTTTGAAGGATAAGCTAAAAGTTATTAATTACCTGCAGGTTCATGTTACATTTCGTGTGCTTGAAGTTTGAGCCTCTGATGCCATGCAAAGAGGCTGCCAAGGGAGCTTGCCCCTGTGGTGCACACAGTGAGGCATAGAGAAGAAGTGCCAAAGTCAAAACTGAAAAAGTTTTTAATCAGCATTTTATGTTGTTTTTCTAGTGTGTATTTTCTAGCATCTTGGTTTTTTAATCTACAGCTTTCTTTTCTCAATTTTTTGGTGTATTTCTCCTCTCTCCCCATTCTAGAAAGTTTATCAGCCTTTCTACCACTGAACATACTGCCTCATGCTATTGGTAATATTCTACTCCTTAGTTGTTTTTCTGGTAACTTTTCAACTCATGACAGAGAAATAACAAGGAACTGTTGAAAACTCAAAAATATTCTCAGGTCCAGCAAATCAAATCTAATAAATAAACCCACCAATTATTTTTGAATAACCCTTTTGCAGTTATGACGCAGTTACAGTCAGAATCAGGATCCGAGTCATATTTTTGTTTCTTTATATTTAAAAAGCATCATTTGAACTGATGTTTAATCAAGTCACCAACCAGGTCTGTTTATTTACACAAGCCATGTGGAGATAAGCTGGTCTCTTTATTATAATCAGCGTCGGAAGTTAAAATCTGTTTCAAGTTCCTGAGTCCTATAATTTTTTTTTCTTCTTGGTTCCACAATGTTTTAGACTTTTAAAATTCAGTTATTCTATGGAGTATTTTTTGTTTTTTTCAGATCACATGTAAATGCATTTAGTTAGTATTGTTGCACAAAACTGWGTGTTTTGTTTACCAGCAAAAGGGACAGAATAATGACAGGGAACAAGCATGATGGCAAACAAGACATGTTTTATACATTCAAAAATCATTTAAGGCATTAAAAAGCACACAAGAGGTGCAACCGTGAACTTCATTTACTGCTGTGTGTGGAGGCTCACGTCTCTCTGCAGAGCCCCACAGAAGTGGCTGGGATGATTATTGGTACATCCATGGAGATTTGATGGAAGCTTAGGCTTGTATCGGATGGACTTTCTGTGGCAGATAACTGTGGGCGCTTTTTTAACCTACTTCAGCAGCACCTAGTGTGGAGCAGTTATGTTTCCTCAGGAGATGGTATTGATTTTTGACTGCTGCTACGTTTTACCCTGTACTTGCAGAGAAAAGCAGGAAGAAGTGATGCTTAAGGATAAATAGATGTTGAGATGGATATGTAGTTATCTCTTTCTATTAAATTACTGTGAGAGAGATCCATGACATACAATTTTAAGATCTCTAAAACATATCTTTTCATTAAGTCACGCTGTTAAAATAAATATCCATCAGCTAAGTGGTACTTTCTGTAGCAACYAGTGATGTGCTACCCTTGGGGTTCATGGCCTTGCTTTTATCATAGCAGCACTGGATCCATCTCCTGCTTTAGAAGGAAATGCCTTTGTTTTATCTACATCAGCATTTATTTCTGTGGATGCCTTGGCACAGGCTGAACAGCTGGAGGCTGGCATCCTGTAGCCAGGTCCTGGTTCATTGCCATCATCACACAAGTGTCACAGGGCATCTGCATTTCCTGTAAGTGSTAAGCCTTTCCTGGTATCTGTGTCTGAAATAGCAACCATCTGATAGTGCTCGCTGGTATCTTACCCTGTATATACCTTAGGAAAATGAGCATGATGAAAGCTTTGGGAGAATATTATTCACCACTTTGACAAATAAGAKCCTATCTATGATCTTCAAATGCTCGCAGGTCAGCAGTTTCATCAAAGGTGGCAGAGAAGCTGGCGGGTGTTTTTGTATTAAGACAAATGATATTTCATTTTTAACTGTTAAAATGTTCCAAGGTCATATGCTAAAAGTTTGGAAAAGAGGAGTTTGTATCTGCTGTTTATTTTGTCCATTCTGTAGATCTCCAAGTTTACACCCACACATCTCATTGACAGGATTTTGGCCTTTTGTGGTGTTAGGGAGCAGGGGGGAATTTCAGCAGGGCTTGCAGGGGCTTTTGGTGCCTCCTTGGGAAGCTGATATATGCTGGTGGCTCTTTACAATTGTATTAATCTGGTTAAGAYTCTCGTTCTGGTTCTACTTGTAGTGGCTCCTAGCTCTGAAATGAAAGGTTCCCTTCTTAAGTTTTGCTACATTGTGTGGTCTTTCAGTTATTTTTTGCAATGCAGTGTGAATATACATCATTGAATATAWCAAATTAAATATGAGAATTACACTGGTCACTATGTTGTGTAGCACTTTCAACACAGGGATTGCACAAAAGGAAAAGTCAAGTGCCATGACCATCACAGACTGAAATGTCCTGGATAGCAAGCCATGTCTTGGAAGGCAAATGCCATCACTCCAAACATCCGTCCTTCCTCCTTCTTCCCCCCACTTTATAACTGAGCATAGTGTTAGATGATCTGAAATATCCCTTGGGTTGGTTGGGGTCAACTGTCCTGGCTGTGTCTCCTCCCAGTTTCCCGTCACTCTGCAGGATCACGACCTGTCTTCTTGCCTGACATCGAACAATGCCCTTTAGATAATCTTAATTCTCTTGCAAGAATAATTTAACTCTTCAGAATCTTTGTGGGGGAAGTATGTGCTTACAAACATTGTCAAATAAACAGTGTTATTAGTCTATTTCAGGAAAGACAAATGATTCTTACACAAGATATTAATCCTTATGTGCTGATTTTTCTCTCTGTATGTTGTAGATGAGTTCTATATAAAGCTTAGTAGATACATTTTGATAACTGAACCATTTTAATAATGTGTTAATCTTCCTAACTGAACACATCAGATMTTTGAAACTAAACTTAATAATTTCCCTTCTTCCCTATAGCAAAATTTATTTATCTAGGATCATCTACTTCATCTATTACAGCTTATGAGTAGGTGGCTTACAATGAAAAATGATGGTTAATATTATAAGAATGTTCAATCCAGTAAGTGCATTTTGACAGGCTTTGATGGCTTGAAATCAGTCTTTGTATTCAGAATGGATTACCAGATTTATTTAGTTGCCACAGCATGTTTTTGACTTTATGCTTTGTAAGTAAATATTTTGCTTATTTATACCAAAAGCAGTTGTGGCTAAGCACTTGCAGGGGTATTTTAAGAACTGCTTGGCAGCTTTTAAAGCTCCCGCTAAAGCTGTGATGAGAGTCCCACTGGGAAACAAAGGCCAGTGTGAGCACATATGAAACAACTTCTATACTTAATTCTTTGCAGAAAAACAGAAAAGCTACAGTTCAGCATCAGAAATTAACATAAGCACAACCACCTGGAGGTTTATTCATGGATAAAACAATGGAATTTATCTTTGTATCCTTTGTTCTTTATTCGTGCTGGAATAATGAAGGAGTAGTGAAGCACACTGGCATTAGGATTCATTTTGTGGAGATTATTCCTGTTTCYATGTCCCTRTGTAATTCACTAAGAGATGCTGTTCAGTGGGTCTGGCCTGATTAGGCAACTCAATTAGTCCTGATACTGCAGGAAATTTTCTCCTATGAAGGTTTGAAGATGCAGTGGCATCACAGRGCATGAAACAGTCAGACCAGAAGAACCACTGAATATTTTGTGTGCAGTCTCTCAATGGGAAACCCAGATGTGCATTTGTCGGTGAAGTAGTGACAGACCCACTATTTCCACCCCCAGAAGAGCAGTTGGTGCCAGGCTGGTGCTGTGATCCAGGTCCTTCCTGTTATTGTGCTCATGGGGATTGGCAGGGCCTGCTGAGTTCTTGGAAATGAATTGTTCACCATGGCAATAACTGGCAGGTCAGTAGGGCATATTGGATTAATTGTGTTGTTGATGGCAGTAAAATTATCTAAATGGGAAGAATTCTGTATGGCTTCATTTTGAGGGTCAGTATTTGCAGGGTCTTTTGTCGTATCACACGTATTTTCATGGGTTTCAAGGCACAAAACCCATCAGTGTTCATCTGTATGGATCTATTCAGTATCTGGGTGACTATCACAGAAACACCACWGTGCAGATTTGTCAGCAGTCTGAAATTTTGCAGGAAATTCAAGGCTTTTTTCTTCTGTCTGATTAAAATACTGTCTCTGCCTTATACTCATGCATTAAACTAAATTTGTGCAGGTGTAATTTCTGGAGTAAATGATCCCGAACTTTTAAATTGATGCATCATAATTTTCTCAATTACATTTTTTTCAGTAGGGTTTTGGTTTGTTTGATTGTTTGTTTTGTAGATGAAACCATTTGGGTGTTCATGCCCATATCCATAAATGAGTGACATTCTCCAGAGCTGAGTGAAAGGCTGAAATAACACTGAAATAATCTGGTGGGCCTAGAGCAGCTACTAGGCAGGTTACTAGGARTAAATGGTCACTCACCATAACTTTTAAAACAGGTAATTTGCTGGTTGGTTGGTGCTTTCTGCCAGCTGATCGSAGTTCCCCTGGAAAATGTTATTTGCAACTATCAAAATGAACCATTTTATGACCTCKGAGTGGAATGTTCTGTCTACCTGTCTTAGCTGCTTTCAAATGACATTAAGTTTGTGAAATGGCTACCATGATGATCTAGGTAACCTTTGAAGGCTATGGCTAGARAGTACATTTTAATATTTTATGTGAGTAGACCTCACTATCAAAGCAACGCAGTGGCAGTATCAGCATGAGGATATCAAGTGATGATATATATTGTACAACATATGTAATGCCAGATGCCTGGGTGACTGCTAAGCCACCAGTGGCAGAAATCGTGCAGAAGAGAAATAATTTCTTGGGCAGTGGGATGAGACGAGAGGCAAAATTTCTCTCAGGCTTTGCCATTCTACATGGACCAAAGAGTTAGCAGAGAGATGCATGTTCGATTAGCAAGAAAAGAACAAGGGGTAGTTMGTTGCAAATCCACTACTCTCTACTGACAAATAGTTAAATCACTTGGTAAGTTTTAAAGTCTGTTTTATTACCTTCTTTTGTGCTTTCAAAAGCAATCTGACTGGCTTTGTTTCTGGTAAATACTGTGAATTTCTTTTTGCTCTTTAATGCTGAGTGTAAAGTATAAATAAAAAATGCTAAAACACATTCACRAAAAAACCCAGACCTCCAAACCTTACTATGATAATTCCTTTTATCACATTGATGACAGATTTTTTTGGCGCTGGTTTCAAGTTACCAGTTTTTTCATAGGAGTTCTCATAGCTCATGAGACACTGGACTACAAGCTGTGCCATGGCAATTTCTTGAGGGTTTTTTTGTTGGTTTCCTGCCAGTTTCACCATTGTAATGTGCTCTGGTAATTAACAGGAAAATAGTAAAAATGTTTGCCTGTTTTATGCTGAAAAAGTTGGGAGGTATTTTTCTGCTGGTTTTGTATGTATTTTTAAAGCAGCTTATTTTWATAGCAGCCTTGAAAAAACCTTAGAGCTATTATTAGACTTTTGAAGATGTGATGCTGTTTCAGTTTTGCATATTAAATTTCTTCCTTTACATGAATACCTAGGGTTTGCCCAGGGCTTCAATTATATCTGAAACAACTGAGAGTAACTTCAGTGTTTCCCCTGGACGTATTTCATGCTGATCAGATGTATCAGGGAGGGATGCTGAGATCTGGTTTGCTTTTATCCTTTCTTCAGCTGGTACCCGAGCAACAGCTGCGTTTTCTTCTGTTTCCTTAAACCTGCTCTCTTGCTTCTGTTTCCAGATTTAGTAATTTTACACATTTTTGTTTCCTCTTCTGAGACACAATGGGAGGTTGCTTTTGTCTTTGATCTTCRTTTTTCTTTAGAAATCCTACTTCAGCTTCTGAAAGGGGAAAAAAAWKKKTTYCAGTTCTAAGAAATTGAATGCGCCTTAGCAATTTTGACCTCATTCCCCCAAAATTGTGCCTGTGGGATTGTGTGCTGGGAATTTTAAGGTGGGTGTTACGATGCACTATTAGTGCAGTGACRGGAACACAGGGATGTCTGGGGGTGTAGATGCACCGTCCCATGTCTCATGCACTGAAGAGTTGTGAAAAAAGATTATAAATAGAACCATTTATGTTGGAAAAGACCTTTGAGATGATGGGATGCAGCTGGTGCTGTGTGTGCCTACAGAATCACAGAATATCCTGAGTTGGAAAGGACTCATGAGGTTCACCAAGTCCAACTCCTGGCCCTGCACAGGACCATCCCCAAGGGTCACACCCTGTGCTTGAGAGCATCGTCCCGGTGCTCCTGGAGGTCTGTAGGCTTTGGGACTGTGACCACTGCACTCAGGAGCCTGTGCAGTTCCCCATCACCATCTGAGGGAAGAACCTTTTCCTGATATCCATCCTAAATTTCCCCTGGCACAGCTCCAGCTGTTCACTGGGGTCCTGGACCTTGTCACCAGGGAGAAGACACCAGTGCCTCTCCCCTTCCGCTCATGAGGAAGTTGTAGATTGTAATGMTGTCTTCCCTCAGTCTCCTCCAGGCTGAACAGACCAACTGACCACAGCCACTCCTGACGGCCCTTGAGGGAGGAAAACCCCTCTGTATGGGAGTTGGTAATGGTCAGTATGAGCTGGTCAGATGGTCAGGGTGAGCTAAAGAGCTGAACCATGCCTGGTGTACCAGGGTGTCCGGCTCTATGGGTTGTGTTGGTGGTAGATTTGGCTTGAAGGCATCASCGCCGGCGGTGGAAGAACTGCCTGGAGCCATGGATATTCCCTGCGTGCGTTGGGTGACATGGCACCTGGCGGCAAAGCTGCCCTGTGAGACGGGCTTCTCCTCAGCCTGTGCCYGCGTCCCATCCATCGGGGTACGGGGGAGCTTGTGGCTGGTGTGGCCGGCCTGGTGAGGGCGGTGCGGGGCTGAGGGGAAGTCCCGCCGTGCCCGCACTCCGCCATGCCCTCATCCCGCCGTGCCCACACTCCGCCATGCCCTCATCCCGCCATGCCCTCATCCCGCCGTGCCCACACTCCGCCATGCCCTCATCCCGCCGTGCCCTCANNNNGCAATGCCCTCATCCCGCCATGCCCTCATCCCGCCATGCCCTCATCCCGCCGTGCCCTCATCCCGCCGTGCCCGCACTCCACCATGCCCTCATCCCGCCGTGCCCGCACTCCTCCATGCCCTCATCCTGCCGTGCCCTCATCCCGCCGTGCCCTCATCCCGCCGTGCCCACACTCCGCCATGCCCTCATCCCGCCGTGCCCTCATCCCGCCATTCCCGCCATTCCCGCCGGCTGTGCGCCACCTAGCGGCCCGCTCTGAGGGCCCAGCGAGGATGGGCGACACAAACAGTGCGAATGAGCATCCTTGTCAAAGTGTGAAGCATTGGGAGGGCCTTAAAACGCTAAAAACGGGGGCTGGGGTGTATTAAATGCAATTAAAATTAATACCGGCGGGAGATCATGCAGTCTGCCTTCTGGTAGCTCCTCACCTGTGAACAGCAGGGTTCTGAGGGCGTGTGATGGCCTGAGAGCTGCTCTGTGCTGCTTGGCTAAAACTCCTAATCCTTCTGTTTAATTTTACAAATTACGTGGCARATGTTTTAATTTATTTGCAAGTATAAAAGGAATTTAATTCTTATCTTTAAATGATTCGTGATAATTTGGAGTTGGACTTCCCCTTTGACACGTGAATGTGTCAACTTCACACTCGTATGATTCACATTCCCTCTCCATGTCCCTTCTCCCCCTCCTTGATAAAATAAATACTTTATTTAATCTGTGCTTTGTTTTCAAGGTCACTTCCTGGTACAACAGCGGCTGAATGTGCATTAAATTTGAAGAAGATTTATACAGTACAAACAGTGCAGGTGAGGCGTCTGGCTCTGCTACAGGASCTGCCACATGTTATTAATGTAACTTCACACCTTAAGTTTCGTTTTTCYTCCTAGGATGAGTCACGCCTGTGGCTTTGCTTACCTGAGATGTGAAACGTGAGTGTTGCTGGTGTTGTGTGTTTGTGTTACTGAGTCAGTGTTTGAATTTCATTTGGCTTTCCGGACTGGGAAAGGAGGAGGTGTATTGGATTGGGCATACTGGATTCTTAAACCTTTCTGAGTTTCCACTAGTACAATGAAATATTATATTTGATGTATTTTAAATATTTTTCCAACCTCTTCTCCTTTTTTTAATACAGAAATTATTACACCAAGACTGAAAATCATAATATATGGGTTTTGTTTTTCTTGTGGGGTTTCTCTCCTTTAGCTATATCTAAAAGAAAGATTCTAGCAAACTGAATTAAAGTGCTCTGAAACTGTGCAATAATTGCAGCAGTGACAAATTGTGCATGTCTGTGCCATCTGCCATTGCCTAGAAGTGGGCATCTCTTGCAAGTAAAATTGCATTTCTATTTTAATACCACAGTTAGCACGAGCTATAGCAAATTGGTATTTGTCTTACYTTTGTGCTAAGCTGATGGGTTCACYATWTCTCYGAAATTCTRAKGTAATGCTAGRCYCTTCTCTTTGAGAAGCACAGCTGTAGCAATTTGCTGAAACTTTAAATAAGGCTTTCTCGTGAAGATCTGCAAAACTTGTTACATTGTGTGAGATTTCCAAACCAAACACCTTCCAAACTAAGTCCCTAGTTCAGGACAAAAAGAGCTCTCAGATGTTTCCWCAGCYRTTCTACCAGTGTACCTCTGCTCCTTTTTCTGCAAGTAGCTTTTGGGTTTGGGCTAACAACCAGTTAAAAGTAAGATAAAAGTTTAAATGCAAGTTTCATACCAAGTTTTTTTTAGTTTTAGTAGTCTTCTATTTCTTGTGGCTGAGTGAAGGTAATGGCTTTTAGGCAGAGTTGCCAAGGGCCACAAAATTTTATCACATAATGTTGCAATCCTTGTTTCTAAAGTTGTGCTAGTGATTAAGTATTAGATAATACTTAATGTATTAGATAATACTTACATATAATGTGTAGATAATACTTAATGAGTTGCACTAATGATTAATATTGCATCACCACGTGTTGATGCAACTTAAGTCTTTAAAAAGCTTTTCTTGTTCCCAGCTGTTGGATGAAGAGTGAAGAGATTGGAATCTTTTCAGTCATCTGTCCCTGTTGCTCACTCCTGCTTTTGGTTGCCTTTTAGCCACCCCAAACCTGCATGACAGCTTCTGCTTTTACCAGCAGAAACATTGGGAAGTAATCMAATGGTTCCTGGTAACTTGGATCTTCAAATTTCTCCCCCATTCCTGTATTTACATGTGCATCTCAGGTTTTTTGCATCTGGTTGAAACCTTTCACTCAAACTGGTTGGGTTKCTGGTTAGGCATTTAGTTCAGCAGAATTGTTGTTTGTGGTGTTTTTGTAACTCAGGATAGTCATAATGAAGCTTAGGCTAGTCTTAAGTGAAGCCAGGTGGATATTTGATATAAGTCTAGATTTTTAATATGCTAAGAAAATTTTATGTACTGGTTTGTTCTAACATACTCAGTATATAGTGACTCTGGTTTAGATTGTTTTTTCCCCTCTATTCAAAAGGATAATCCACTTTTCAATTGCTTCCCATTTTTCCACCTTCACTTACGCAGGATTGGCATCTTTAAAAAAATAAAAGTAGAAATGAACTTGTAAGTTCTTCTCAGAGCATTTTATTATAACACAAACAGTGCCTGTTCTCCAGGAGAAGGGTGTGTAATTGGTTCAGAGAAAATTAGCAAGGAAATAAATCTGCATGAAACACTCTCTTGTGTTAATGCAATTYGTATTATTCGTTTTCAAGGATTTCTGGAGTGTCTACAACAACATTCCTCCTGTGACAAATTTGCCCTACGATGTAGCTACCATTTAATGCAGGGAGAAAGATGCCCGATTTGGTATGTTTGTTATCAGATATTTCTGGGAGTGGCAGTGGAATAACCTGAGGGGGTGAAMGGGTGGGACAGGAGTGTCTTGTTTCTCTTGGCTGCAAACACCTGAACTTAAGCGACCTATGAAAGAAAATTTGCTATGTTTTCTGAAGTGAAATGCATTTAAAGGTCTACGTTACTTTTCTGAAAATACTGTGACTAGTCAGGATGGCTCATGTGGGTTTGAAAAACCACTGGTGTCTTTATAAATCAACTGGGCCATTGCGTGTAGGCCTTCATATCTTTGTAAGGACGAATGCGAACATTTTGGAGTTTTTTCATTTTATTTTTCCTATTTTTAGTTTTCATTTGGTAAGTGACTATTAGAGGTGTAAAATGCAAAAACCATTTCTGAAAATTAAACACTTATTTTAGGCCTATCAAAGTAATTTTGCATTTTAGGAAAAGGATTGCAAGAGATTGATCTCATCATCTGTAATTCACTAACTTTTCAATAATTACTGCCAAGAAGCTTTTCTCAGATTACCATTACAGCATACTGGCCAATTTCAGCATTTTTTTTTTTTAAGGACAAAGACAAATCCTGAAGTAAGAATTGAGGAAGCASATTTTTGAAGATGTCCTTCCAAAGTTTCCCCCTCCTTTCCCCAGCATCTGTCAGGATTGGTGGGAGACCATTGATCCTGAAGAATATTTATAGGTGTCATACTGGGTTTTGATATTTCAAAGATGAATTTTTAGGTTATTCCTTTAATTTTGCCTTTACAGAGTTTTAACAGGAATCTAAAAGCCCTAATTTAAAGTCYTAGGAAAAGAATTGTGACAGAATAAACTTGAGAAGCTCACAGGTTAGTGCATTGTGCCTTTGTCATTACAAGGCAGTTTAATGGTTATGTCTGCCCTGACCCTGGGCAGCTTCAGTCTTTTTTTAATAAGGGCAATTAATTTCTAGCTGTCACAAAACTGAAATGAAGCGTGCTCATGTTCTTTTATTAAATTGAATAAATGGAAGAGTAATAARCTGGTTCTATGAAAATATGCCAGAGGTTTTCCAAAATTAAAGGTTACCATAGTGAAATGTAAAATTGTTTTGTGGCTCGTTCCCATAGTGTGCAGCCACTTCAAAGATGGTCTGTAGTCAGGGAAAATGTAAGTATTTTCCAAAACACAAAACTTAGGAAAGGGATTAGGTGTTGAGAGATACACTTCATATGAACAATGAAAGAATTATCTCTGATGTCAGAAGTCAGAGTCATGGTCCCTGGAGTTAGTAATTGCATTTCAGATGGGATTTTTCTGGGAAAATTAAACCACAAACATAGGTTTATCTAGATGTGGATTTGAATGTTTATTTTCACTGATCTGTTTCCCATAACAGGGAAGAAAGCAATGCCAAAGGAGGTATATGGAAAATGAAGTTCCCTAAAGAAAGTACGGTATGTTATATTGACTTTTTACTCAGGCCTTATTTAGTAAGGGAGTTTCTTTAAACTCTCTTTGATAAAGCTGTTGTAAAGCTTTCTACTTCTGACATCACCCACACAACAACCAAACACTACTTTAACTTCCATAACCTTTTAAAGACAATGAGCAGAAGTTTATTTCGCAATAATTCTGTATCTCTTGCTTTAGATAACATTTGGCAATGTATTATAAAACAAATGAAAGCTGCAGTGTTTGAAATTGGAAATGTGGTCATTTATAACCACCTTTGTTCTCAAGACTATTTGCTTATAGGCATACAAAGAAAACTAGAAAGACCTTTTTCCTGATAATCTATGCTAGATTATATATTTTTTTCATTTGAAAGTGTGGAAGATGAAGTCTATTCAGGCATATCCTTGAGTACCAATGATATACCGTTTTTTCTCTTTGCCTCCCTAATCAAATGCATGTGAGTAACTTCTGTGAACTGCCACAGAAAGGAGATTTGACCTCTTCACACATGGTGTTTATGTGTGTAAGTGTGCTCTGGATCRGGCCTTTAAACAGAAAAAGTGAAGTGTCAGAAAAATGTGACAGCCTTGCAGAAGGCATTAAATGCTGAAAGATGGTACTTAACATTTCAGCCAAAAGTTAATTGATTTTTGCCTGTGGGCTTTTTCCTTATATCTGAGTTGCAGCTTTCCTCCCCTGCAGTCCCAAGTGATCACAAAAGATTGAAATTGAAATTGTCTTTTTCCTCTTATAATCCAAGGTGTGAAGATTGTCAGAAGTGACAAGTGGTTTGGGGAGCCTGAATTACTGGGCAGTGAATTTAGGGACCCCAGAGRCCTTGTTTTTCAGAGGCTGAATGACAGCTCCTTTTTGATATGAAGGTACTTATGATCTCTCAAACCATGCACCATGTGGCCTCAGTCACTTCTGAAAGGTTTGCTTGAAGGTGAACTTCAGTCAGTTTTGAGTGTCTTGTAAATAGCATAAATAACACCTTTATGCCTGTTTTTCATTTTTTTTGGCTTCATTCTTCATCACATGTGGGCACAGCATCTCCTTGGCTAAGATGAGCCATCTTGTACAGACCTAACAATTAATTRTGTAACAGCATGTACTGAAAATAATTACTCTTTTTTGTCTAGGCAATCTCAGAAAGAGAAGATACTCAAAACTGAACTAGCAAACCTAATTTTTATATTAAAAAACAATAATAATGTTAATGTAACTTTTTCTGCCTCCGTAGGTTGCAGTTTGGAGAGAGCTACTGCTAGCAACTATTGGAGAGCAGTTTACAGATTGTTGTTCAGCAGGTAATGATTGAGACATTTCTCCATTGTTTCTTTTCCCCATATTTGCTTCTCTTCTCAGCATGAATACCTGACTAAAGTGGATGTTACAATGACAGTGAATACCCTGTTAGGAATGGTCCCTCACTGGCTATCATTCCATARAAAAGAATGACATTTCTCAAGTTTACAGAGCAGTTCAGCAATAATCTTTCAAACAGTGTCTCTTACACCTTTTATACACTGGTAGGGTTCTCTTGGGGTCACTTTAAGCAAATATATGATATTCTGCTGTCCACAGAGGTGGTTTTTCCCCTTGGCYATGTGCTTTTGACTGCAACTTTGTGTTATCATTAGTGACCCTTTCCTTGAGATGCACAAAGCAGCTGTGCCATGGAGCTCACAACTGGAGGCAGACACTGCTCCTGGCTGTGGCATGGCCTCTGAGCTCTCCACAAAACTATATCCTGAGAACTTCACACCAAAAAGCACCATGCASCACCAAGTTGCCAGCACGGGCAGCAGCAGCCTGACTTATTAATTTTGTTTGTTTTGTTTTTTTTCTTTTTTCTGTTGCTACCTTGACAAAACGTAAAGGAAAAAAAAGAGAGCAAAGTCTGGAAAAGCTGATCTGATCTCCACCGGGTACTGTTCCTGGGGTTTTAGTTTCACCCTCATCCTCCCATTTCTTGTAGGTATTACTGTAGATAAATTATCTTTAGTAGTTCATATTGCTGACCTTTCTGGAGGGAGTCTTATGATTCCCTTCTAATCAAGTATGAGTGCTAATAGCAAAGATGAATAACCCTATGGCAGTTCATAAAAAAGACCATGAGGTAATATTCCAATAACATCTGTAATCAGAGTTTCCTTCTGGTAACTACTTTGTCTGGTTTGAACCAGACATTGGTATTTTCCTCACTGGAGGTTGCTCCTTTYCTCACATCTTCATTTTTTTCCCAGCTTTTGGGCACTGTTTCATAATACATAAGTAGCAAATTAGACATGTCTCACTTTTAAAGTATTCCTTAATGTTTCTTCCCTTTCTGTGCAGATGATGAAGTAATAGGGGTTAGTGTCAGTGTTCGAGACCGTGAGGATGTTGTGTAAATCTGGAACATGAACTCCTCTTCAGCAARTGAAGCAAAAGTTTAAGAAAAGATTCATAAACWTCTCCCACACGTGCCTTTTAAAGCAGTCTTTTATAAATGTAAGTATTTTTTACTGTTAATTTCTACCTTCATTAGAAAAACAAGATGCTGGTAGAGTATTTCTATGGGAATATCCTGCCTGATTCATCATTAATCACTTCGGAACACAGCATCTGTCATTGCATTAAAATTATGTCCCTGTAGTGTAAAAGTTAGCTATCATTCAGAAGGTATTTTTAGTTTCATCGTAGAATATGTTTTGTTTCATGTTTAATGCGCCTGATTCATAAAACAAATGAAACAAACCTCTTCATAACTCTCAAAATTGCGTGTTGTCCAATTTAAGTATTCATTTAGAGGAACCATTTTAAGGGATCTCATATTTTAGGCTCCCTAAAAATGTATTATCAGAATAGTCTATTCTGAAAGATCACTTGTTGGCATGTTGTGTTCTTCCTTGACTGATTTATACATTTTTATCTTCTCTTTTTYTAATCTTTTCAACTCCTTGACAGAGTTTACATGTTCCTTTATTCTTTTATTTCCCTCTCTTTTCCCTAGCCCACAGAGAGCATCACGCTTTTGAAGGCTGATGTGGAAAGCATTAAGTGCATTGTATGCCATGATCATTTGTTTTGAGCTGGTCTGGACGAGGAGGAGGGTGGTGGAAGCCCTGCAGAAGTGCCACATGGGGTTGACCGTTTTGAGTTTCTGACAATTCAAACTGGGCTGTTGCTACTGAAAATGAAAAAATCCGAACAGATGCCTTGACCACTAAATACATGATTCATTATTTCATGCTGAGTTGGTGTTTTTAATTCTTCATTGTTTCTTAAAAAAAAATATTTTGGCTACTTGTTTATTTTAACCTGATTATATCTGTTCCCATTTCATTAAGATAGTAGGCTTTCTTTTCTTTTATACTGTACTTAGTGAAAGGCAAATGTGCACAGAGATGCTGTTCTGCTTTTCCAAGATGTGCTGTACATATCCTGGCTTGGGTAAAGTGTTTTCAATTTTCACTTTTAAACATTCCTATCATGTTAAAATTTACTCACTGGTTTTGTCCCAAGAGAGAAAGAAATTGCATTGCATTTATTCTAATGTTCAGTGTAATCTGAACTTGCATTGACAAYAGCTGTAAATGTAAATAGAAAAGGGTACCTCAAATGAGCAGCTAAAGAGAAYACATTTATATTGGGACTAACCCTGTGAAGGATGATGTTTATGTCTTTCAGTTGTAATGATTTCAGAAGAGCCCTTGTTCAGGTTAGAATGAGAAATTTCTCAGTAGGAAATCCTGTAAACTCCACCCCTCTTATTTAAGGGTGATAGGATTTTTATGGTTTTATATTGTGTACTTTCTTATGGTACTTTTTTGTACATTCGTGAGAAAGTGTCATGAATAATTTCTACTGAATTGTACAAACTGGATCCATCCTTCCTACTTCCTTAAGTAAATCAGGCCCATGTCTGCACCCACTAGGTCAGTGTCAGAACTGCTGCTGACTTCAGTGCAAAAGAAGAGATCCCATTGTCTGTAGCTTCAAGCCATCAAAATTTCCTAAGTGACCTTTTTTTATACAAAAAATACAGAAATTTATTTTGTAGTGTGAATAGGAATATAAACAGTGTGTTAACCTTTAAATGTTTGTCTATACAACTATTTGAGGTGTTTTAATATACTACCAAAGACTGATRTAGTTCCTTTTACAAGAAGCTGCAAGGTAGAGATGAACATACCCTCTACTAAGTTCTCCTTCATCCTTTAGAGGTTTTTGTCTGGCAGCTGTTCAAGTTGCACTGATTTCCATGTCTTTAGTTTATTAAGAGGCAGCYATAAAATTAAAATAAATTTAAAAATAAGTATCACACATTTGAGATTCCTTTTTTTACAACTTTATCTTGTACTTACARTTTTAACTTGTATTTATGGATTAAAACTGTGTGGTTAATGGGCATTATTAATTAAACACATTTTCTATAATCCAAGTATCTTGCTTCTGTAATTGCTTTCTGGGTTGAAGTGTTACTTGTCCTGCTTTTTCAACCCTGTGTATTTTTCATTGAAACTTACTTTCTTTAAAGCTGTCTGCTTTGTTCTTAGATTAAATTTATTTTTAGTGAGGAAGTGTGGATACTTGCAGGTGGGATTTACCTGGACARCCTCCAGGCCTGCGTGATGGAGGGGGAAGAGTGACTTTGGAGAAGTGAGGGTTAGAACCCAGTGAGGAGAAATGTTTTCAGCTGCTTGATGACAAAATTTCTCACTTGAAATACTTCCCTGTCTTTGGAGGAAATGTAAGTGGAATACTAATAAAGAATTAATCACACACCTCTCTCTCTGCTTCCTTTTACTGTTGGAAACAAGCCACAGCCTCTTATTTCTTCCCCAGGTTTGTTTTCAGGATGGGTGTTGATTCCATTAGAGTTGGAGCTGCTGGCAGAAGGGGCTGATCTGGTGATGTCACTGGAACTTGCTAGTTTAAGGTATTACTTTATTCATCTAACTGAGGGCAAATATTTTTATGTTGTTGCCTTGTGTGCCTCTTTAATATTAAAGACCTCTCTGCTTCAACATTGGGTAAAGACTTAGAGACGTTATTCTGGCTGTAGGGTAGGGTAGCTGCATGCTCCACATTGCAAGTTGATGTAAAGCTTTCATTCTACAAAATCAGGGATTATTTTTCTCCCATATAGCCTAATTCTGATGGTGGTTGTTATTACTTAGAATCAGGGTTGATGGATATCTTCTCAACTGAAATTCAGTGTATTGTATACCGCAATCCAAGATTGGACTTGGATCAAACTGGGTAGTGCAAGTTCACAGGAACGTGACAAATTGCATATTGGAATTTTATAACCATTGATTTTAAGACTTTGTAGAATTTTTGAAGTGTCCTTTCATCCCTACATCTGTAGGGATGTATTTGTACCAAAAGATGTTAAACAGTTCATTTTTATACTCTTTCAAATATTCATTATTTTCACCTGGAGATTTGCTTTATTGAACTTGATTAAATGAACCCCCAATACTTCAAAATCTTCTAAATTGTTTAAATGGATATCAGAGAAGTTCCTACAACTTCCTATCAAAATKAATTTCTGCTGGCATTTCAAGTAAAATTAAAACATTTAACTTCCATGGTGACAGACTGCAAAGAAACTCCAGACTAGCTCAATGAAAGAAACCTGCTTTGCCCTCGGGGTGGGAACAAGCCCTAGCTGATCCCTCTCACRCTTGGGCACTATCCAGAAAGGCTGAAGCTTTTTAAATAGCTGAAGCACTTTTCTCTTTTATCCAGGCTGTTTTGTGAATTTTGTGGAAACTTCATATCCTTGATACACCTGGGAAGCCAGGTGAGATGAGAGCTAAGAGGAGATTTSTGGTTGTGTGGAGAAATGTTCATAGAACCATGTATAAATGCTCACAGCATCCTCCTGGGGAAAGCTTTGATGCTGCATGGTAGTAGTTGAGGGTGGTGGGGAGCTGGCTGAAGTGGAGCTGCGGGCCTCATTCATGGGCACAGGCATGGACTGGACAGAGGAAGGAAGAGRGGGAGCAAGGGGATGCAGCCCAGGGATGTGATGGGAGCACAGGGGAAGAGGAAATGCTGGCCAGGCTGTGGTTGAAGCACTTGGGCAACTGCAGCCAGGAGGSAGAGCCATAGATTGGTGCGAGGAATGAACAGTTTTTTATTTCTGAGTGTTACACTTGGGCTGGTCTGCACCTTCCCAGGGCTGAAGATGGCCACTGGCAGCAGGTGGGGGCCAAGCTCTGATGCTCCCCTCACCTTTGTGGGCATCACTAATGGCTCRCTGGGGCTCTCCAGGCTGCAACACAATGGCTGCTGGAGGGATTAGTTGGGAATTTCACTTAACAGGGATGAAGGGCTGTCTTCTGGGGCTGGCTAATTAACAGGATTTTACTCTAGTAATTAAATAGCAGTTTGTTGAACACAACTTAGTTGATGAAATCTATGAAAAACATAACAATTAGCAGGCAAGGAATGGCAGCTTTGCCTCAAAAGCCTGTCCCCAACCAGTTGCTGGCATGGTTTTAACCTTTCATTCCCCAGCAGAGACAGTGTTGACTATTAATTTGTTTGGGTTTGCTGCTGTTATTGGACAGCTTGTTCTTGTTCACCCTCTGCTGTCACAGCAGTTGGTTCCTCTAGGGCTTCATCTCAGCTGCTGGGGCTTGAGATGTGCCACATGTCGCTCTCTCTGGCACTGSCTTCTTAAAAGCCCATGCTGGAGGACAGGTGTGTTTGCCACCAGAAAAAAGAATATTCTTAYTTTTGTATTCTTCCTATGGCGGATTAACCAGAGAGGATGAAATTTAAGACTTGTTTTAAAACATAAACCTGACAGGGCAAAGTTATTGATCCCACACAGCTTATGTAAACCCTCTCATCTGCACACCACACATGGAAGGGGGGAGGTGCTTTCASTTGAAAATCATTCCTGTCTTCATCTTTCTACTTCTCCCTGTCTTGTAATGATTCTCTTAGGACAACGAGGATGAGGAAATTAGATTAGACAAACAGTGGGAGATATCACAGTTTGCTATAAAAGCCACCTCCAATCTTTGCTACAYTTGGACAGCTCTCAATTTCTTAATTTGACAAGTTAATGAACACTGCATTATTTCTGAGGCCGTATGTACCACAGCGCAAGGGAAGGGGGGCTGTGCTTTGCACCAAGACTACACACCCCAGCACCTTCCTTGCACCCAGATTATGAAATCTCATCCCTGGGAGGGAGGTGGTGTGTGCTGGAGCCTGGGGCAGGAGCTGGGCTTGGGAGCTGTGGTGTTATTGCACGGCTCTGCAGGATGCTCCCATGCCAGGAGACAAGTGGACCTGCCTCGGGTGTGTGTGTCATCTCTGAGAAGCTGTACAGCAGTTTTTGACCTCCCTGTGTTTTGCTTGGCTGGGCAGGACATTGTTTCCTTCCACTCTCCCCGAGGCTGTGCAGACAGTGGAATGGGCTGGCCAAGCCAACCAAGCTAAATACAGCAGCAGACATCCTGTTTGCAGCTCCCAGGCACAGCATTCCCGGAGTGGGTGAGTGGGCATCCATGCACCTGCATGGCTCTGACTCCAGCCTGGTGCTCTGCTCCTAGTCAAGGGGCAGGGAAAAGGGCTTTAAATGTTTTGGGGAAACTACTAGCTGTTTGGAACAGGGTCAGTGGGAAGTGCAGCAGTTCTGGGGCAGTCCTGGGGTGTCCCTGCACAGWGGTGAGGCCAGGAGCAGAGTTGCAGGTTTTACTGCTCCCTCTCCAAACTGCCTGTTGTAAGCCTGGTACCCGTGATGTGCTCTGTCTCGTGGAGGWACTGGGAGAGTATCCATCAACACACCGAGGCTCCATAAATAAATAAGCACATGGGAGCAGGCTGGAAGTGAAGAGCAAAGTAGGTATCATTCATCATACGAGGGGGCCTGGAGTATGTTCAGCTCATAATACGTAACAGAGTTATGAACAGGCATGGGATGGATCCCCTTCGTTTTGGATCATGATTCTGTAATAAACATGCAAGACAATTTGTATAAAATAGTGAGAATTCTTTCCTAGAGAAGTCATTTAAAGCTATATTTGCACATCAGTGAACAGCTCAGAGGAATGTTTTGTAGTTACATTTCCATACAAGTGTGCAAAGAGAAAACAACACAGTCAGCAAGTGATGGATGGTGCATGTAATCCTGTGCCATGATGTGCCCTCCCTGGGTAATCATGTTCCATGCCCTCCCTCCAGGGAAGCACCCATCCTGGCACCCCTGCCTCCACAGCTGGGGGGTGGATCACATTGTAAATCCCATCAAAGGTAGAAGGGATTTTTCCTGCATGCCTTTGGTCACAAAACAGGRGGTTTGGAGTAGGAAAATCCTGACCCAACTGCATTAGCACTGCTGGCTCTTAGCAACTTTTCAAAATAATATTTGCCTGTGAAAGGACAGGGTGGCTTGCCAGGTTAACTGGGAAATGATCCCGCATTGTGTGGCACAGGCATGGTCTGCACAGAAAGCTTCATAGCTTTTTTTTTTTTTTTTTTTTTCCCCCACTTTGGGATAATTTTGGGAATTGCTTTTTGTTTTGTTTGTTTTCAGTATGTCCCAAGCAGCTTGTTTGTCACTCTCTATATCTACACAGCAGCACCACCACTCTTCTGGCTTTGTGTCCCAGGTCCCCAACCCTCTTGCTGTGGCTGTGTGGTGGAGGTCAGGTGGTGACTTTCCTGGTATTTCTCCCAGCAGGACACCTGAGCACAGGAGCCCAGGCAGCCCCTCTCCCGGTTTTCAGAAGCAATCAGGGTTTTCTTCCTTTGGAGTCAAGCTAACCATGAAAGTGATGTGAGCATCCACTCTGCCCTCATCTTCATCCTTCCTGCTTCTTAGGAGAAAAGTTATCTCTGGAAACTGTCTCTGATAATGCTGATTGTTCTCCATSCTTGAACTTCCTTGGAAGGCTCTAAAGTTTATAAAGTTTCTAAGTTTTAAGTAATTACCAAAACCTCTGGTTTAGTCTTCACGGTTTTTTGTTGCGTTTTTTTGAGAGTTTATAAACTTAAAACCTCAGCAGCTCAAAAAGAAAACACCTGAAAGAGCTGAAAGCAAGTGGATCTCCTTTGAAAGGCTGGCTCTGGAGCTGCCATGAGATGGCACTGCGACATCAGGCATGGAACTGAGCCACTCCATCCCACCGGGGTGTGCGGGGAAGTACCTTCCTGCAGGGAGAAAAAATGCCAAACAAGAGAAAGGACTTGCATAAGGATAATTCTGCTATTAGTCAGGAGGAGCTGTCATGGAGCCGTGTCTGGACTGGACTTTTCCTGCTTATACAAAGCACATAATGCTRTAGGAATTCATGTATAAACAGTGCAAATAAGAGGGGAGGGTGGTTAAATTACGAACAGCAGTATGGAAATATATTTTCTTTAACTGTTGCTGACAAATTCAGAAAGTCCTTGATTTCTGGGCGATTTCTGAACACAACTGCATTCTAAAAATAATCATGTTAAAACTTTTTTCTGGACTTATGTGTTTCTCCCTTTCTTTTGAGCACACAGAAAGTTTAAAACAATCTGTAGGAATGGGGAGAAGCTGTCATGGCTGGGCAAGTTTGCAGCTGGAATGGGGTAGGTTTGCAGCTTCAATTCTGAAAAAATGGCCAAAGCCCATCCAGGTGAGTGGGCTGGAGGTGGTGTTTCCTATTTCCGGCCCCACAGTACAAGGAGGCAAGGAGGGATTGGCAACGGGGACCAGCAGAGGGATTTTTCCTTGCTCATGTGTTAAACTGCC